AGTGCTGCTTCTTCACTGGCTTCTTTACCTTGGAGGAGAGAACAAAGCAGGCAGGAATGGCAGAGCCCTCCCTGCTGCTGGGAGGGACAGTACCATGCCCTCCCCCCACCCTGGGTGGGACCCAGCACCCATCCCACCACAGCTGCAGCTGGGTTTGGCTGCAGGGACATCCCCCACATGGGAGCAGGAAGGCCTGGGGCTGCAGCAGGGCAGTGTGCAGCTCCAGAAGGGAATATTCTGGTATCCAAAGGGGCCCATCCAGCCCTTCTGGTGGACCCAGACCTGAAGATTTTGGGAATGCTTTCCTACAGCTCCACCTCCACAGGGAGAAACTTGCCCCTCCAGGCTGTGAAGCTCCCAAGAGCCTTCTATGACCCTCCACTTATGCTGTGGGGAGGGCACTCAAGATTTCGGGAATGCTTTCCCAGCTCCACCTCCACAGGGAGAAACTCAGCCCTCTAGGCTGTGCAGCTCCCAAGAGCCCTCTCTGACCCTCCACTTATGCTGTGGGGAGGGCACTGGAGCAAAACCCATGCCTGCAGTGGGGTGGGAAGCACCATGGAGATGCTCCCACAGCTCCATGGGGTGTCCTGGGCCATGGAAAGAGCTCCCATTCTCCAGGGATGGATGTGCTGATGGCCACAACCCTTTCCAGCAGGGTGTGGGCCACCCTGGGGTAAAGGAAGACCCAGACAATCAGTCCCTGCCAGCCCTGGAAGTCCCTGCTGACCTGCCCCAAGAGGACAGGCTGTCTGTCTGTGTGTCTGTCTGTCCCCACAGCTCTGCACTCACCTCTTTCTCCAGCTCCAGTTCCGAGTCCGAGGAGGACGGAGCTTTGGCCCGACCTTTCCGGCCCTTTTTGGGCACTTCATCCTCAGCACTGCTGTCTGAATCTGAGTGCATCTCTTCACTCTTCTCTGCTTTCTCCTTCCTCTTCTCTTTCTCCTCCTTCTCCTGCTCCCGGAGCCGACGAATCTCTTCCTCCTGCTCCCTCTTCCTCTTCTCCTCCAGCTCCCGCCGTCGCTCCTCATCCCTCCTCTTCCACTCACTGATACGATCCACGTCGCTGTCGCTGTCGCTGGGAAGGACAGAGCAGGCTTGGACCCCCCGTGTCCTCCCATTTGTGAGGGTGGGAGACCCTCCAACCCACCCACCCCACCTCCCCCGGGGTGACAATGTCCCAGCTGAGCTCACCTGTCACTGCTGGAGCTGGTGGGGACACGCTCGGGCTTGGGTTTCCTGCCCCGGGGCTTGGGAGGGGGTTTCTCAGCTGCAAGACAAGGTGGAGATGCTCAGCAGGAGCCCTGGGTGTCCCTCTGTTCAAACAGCCCCCAATCTGGGGGGGTGGGGGGGTGTCCCCAACAGAAAGGGACCCCAAAACTTCAAGCCCCCCAGCCTCACATCCTCCCCAGCCCCCTGAGGAAGGAAGGCAGGAGTGGTGGAAGAAGCTTCCTTGGTGTTACCTGGTTTCCTGCCCCGTGGAGGCTTCTTCACAGACACGTCCGAGTCAGAATCGGAGTTGGAATCCGACTTGGTCATGTCCACAGTGGCATTTCCCATCTCTGAATCCGAATCCACTTTGGAATCCGAGTCAGAGCCTGACTCCACCTTCTGCAGACACGGGGTGGGGTTGGGTGGAGGGGTGGCAGCTCAGCAGCTGTCCCAGAACAGCACCACGGGGCTCCACCAGGTCTTGGAGGCATCAATCAGGTCCCTCCTTGTCCTGACCCCACACCCAGCCTGGGGCAGAGCCTGGCCCACCCCAGGACCCCCCACGACCACAGACCCCAGATCCTTCCCCAGCTCCACCCCAGTCTTTTTCCTTTCTTCTTCCTCCCTCCTGCTGGCATCCTCCTGGGAGCCCTGGCCACTGGCTTCTTCTCAGGAGTGAAGTCCTGGAGGAAAACATGGACAGGGGGAAAAGTCTCAGGATGGTTTCAGAAGTCGGTCAAGTCCCCTTGAGCCATCTTCCCTCTCCAGATGGTGATGCTCTTCCCACAGCCCTTTCCCCTGGCAGCTCCATACAAGACTATCTCCAAAGTCCTCTCACCTGGTCGCTGTTTTGTTCTGACTCAGAAGATGTCTCTGAGTTCTCCTCTTCTGACAGGGAGGGGCTGCCCTGGTCCAGGTCACTGGAGGATTTCCGAGGCCGTTTTGTCACTGGCACCTGATGTTGGGGAAGTGAGGAGGTTGAGGGGAGCCCAGGCCCCCTCCTCAGAAAGCCAACACTTCCTGGGAAAGGGGCTTTGCTCAACTCTTCCCCACTGGCCACGTGCACCTAGAAGGGATTTGCAGCCCTGCCTTTTCCTCAGGGCTGCAAACAACACCAGGACCTGTCCCACCATCTCACAGACAATATAAGAGGGGTGGCAGCTCAGCAGCTGTCCCAGAACAGCACCACGGGGCTCCACCAGGTCTTGGAGGCATCAATCAGGTCCCTCCTTGTCCTGACCCCACACCCAGCCTGGGGCAGAGCCTGGCCCACCCCAGGACCACAGACCCCAGATCCTTCCCCAGCTGCACCCCAGACTTTTTACCTTCTTCTTCCTCCCTCCTGCTGGCATCCTCCTGGGAGCCCTGGCCACTGGCTTCTTCTCAGGAGTGAAGTCCTGGAGGAAAACATGGACAGGGGGAAAAGTCTCAGGATGGTTTCAGAAGTCGGTCAAGTCCCCTTGAGCCATCTTCCCTCTCCAGATGGTGATGCTCTTCCCACAGCCCTTTCCCCTGGCAGCTCCATACAAGACTATCTCCAAAGTCCTCTCACCTGGTCGCTGTTTTGTTCTGACTCAGAAGATGTCTCTGAGTTCTCCTCTTCTGACAGGGAGGGGCTGCCCTGGTCCAGGTCACTGGAGGATTTCCGAGGCCGTTTTGTCACTGGCACCTGATGTTGGGGAAGTGAGGAGGTTGAGGGGAGCCCAGGCCCCCTCCTCAGAAAGCCAACACTTCCTGGGAAAGGGGCTTTGCTCAACTCTTCCCCACTGGCCACGTGCACCTAGAAGGGATTTGCAGCCCTGCCTTTTCCTCAGGGCTGCAAACAACACCAGGACCTGTCCCACCATCTCACAGACAATATAAGACAGGTGGGAATCCTCCAGACATGCTCTGAATCCCCATTTCCCACTAGAGAATCCAGAGGGAGTTAGTTTTGTTACCACCTCAGGCCCATGGGGGGGTTGACGTGCTCAAGATCATCTAGATCCAGCCCCCCTGCATGGGCAGGGACACCTCCCACCAGCCCAGGCTGCTCCAAGCCCCATCCAACCTGCCCTTCAACACTTGATGGAGCAGCCACAGCTTCTCTGGGCAACCTGGGCCACCCTCACACTCCAGAATTCCCTCCTCATGTCCAACCTAAGCTCCCCCCTCTTCCAGTTGTAATCCATCTCCCCTTGTCCTCTCACTACAAACCCTTGCCAGACACCCTCAGATGAAAGCTGCAGCTCAGTGGTGGCCCCCAGGACCACACCAGCATCCTCCTCCTGCCCAGGAACACCCTCCCATCCCTCCTTGCTGCCACCCCCTCAGCCCAGACTCACCTTCATAGCCAGGGGTTTTCTCTTCATCCCGCTGTGGTCGCTGCCCTGATCTGAGTCCTCCTCACTCTCCCCCTTCTCCGTGGCCACTTCCAAAGCCCTCATTCATTCAGACAAATCTCGAATTACATCACTAGAACTCCGGGGGGCTCGGGGTGCAGCAGGGGTGGGTGGGTGGGGGGAAGGAGAAGGGGCACGAAGGGTGAGGAGCGATGGACAAGAGCGCAGAGCAGAGAGGGGGTGCAGGGTGGGGTGCAGGGGAGCTGGGGGGCAACGTCCCCCCCTGGCACAGAACCCTCCAGCACAGATCTGGGGCAGGGGGACAACCAGGACACTCAACCAACTCCCTTCTAATTCCTCTGCAGCCCCTTCCCCAGGCTCCTCACACCCCACCTGAGACCACCCCCTGGGTCCCCCAGCACTGCCTTGCTCCCCTCTCCTGCTCCATCCCTGCTGGAGACCCCCTGGAGAAGCCTAGACCTGAGAGCCCCTCCTGGGGGAGCAGAACCCAACCCTGCTCTGTCCTAACGGCGCCAGACAAGTGGGGCTGGTGGTTCCATCCAGCATCTCCTCCAGCATCTCTGGGAGTGGCTGTTCTCCAGCCCTTAACACGGGTCAAGCCTTGTCCTTCTCAGATGCACATCACACCCCTTCCCCATGGGAAAGGTCCACACAAGAAGTCCAACGTGGCAGCCACTGCTCTTCCCAGTTGGGATCTCCCACAAAGGGAAGGTCTTCAGGCTTCACACCAGCCCATCATGAGGTTCCTCACTCAAAGACATGGCACCCACAGGGTTTCCTAGAGCTGGGATTCTTCCAGTGCTGGAGCCTTCCTGCTGGAAAGCCTCTCCTCATCCTTGGCTGTTCCTGGTATCTCCTTCATTTAGGTCTCAAACCAGAAGACCTCTCCTTCAGTCTCTTCTGCTCCTCCTTTGGCCACAAGATGCCGTTGGCATTGGTGGACCCTCAGCCTTGTTGGGGCCATCGGTGTCACCATGGTCCCTCAGTCACAGCAGATCCCTCACCAACAGGTTTCTCACCCCTGCTGGGAGCTCATGGTGGAGTCCCTGGACAAAGCAGGTGCTGCCATCACCAACCTCCCACCCAACAAGACAAAGTTGTTCTCCAGCTTTTCGAGCATCTCCACAGTCTCACCTTACCCTACAGCTGCAGTCTTGGCTCCAACCATCTCCTGCAGCAACTCAAAACCACCACCTCCCTCTTGCACTGGCAGCAGCACAGCCTGCTTGGGATGGGGGGGGGGAGCTCATTCCCTACCTCTGGACCACCTTGTCCTTGTAGCTCACCTTAAAAACCTTCCTCTGCCTCTTCAGACCAACTGCCTATGAAGCTGCTTTGGCCTCCTCCTCTGAAGGTCACTACACAACAAACGGCATCACACAATTATGGGTATGAAACGCCCAACGTTTCACAGCCACGAGCCACCTCCAGGCCTGCCCTGAAGGAGCAGCCCAGCAGCTCTTGGCTCAGGACCTTGGAAGTGGATGGAAGAAGAGGAAGGAGCTTCCCAATGGAAATCTGGGAAGTCGGGACCGAGCGAGCCTGGAGCCCTCGCTCCGAACAACGAAATCCTCCATGGATTTTTGGGGCAAAGCAGAGCAAAGCACATCCCTGGTTCCACCTTGAAGCTGGGGCAAAAGCATCTTCCTCCAAAAGGAGGAGGAGGAGGAAGGGTTGAATCCCTCCAGAGAGGATAGGGCAGGGAACAAAAAGCTACCCCAAGGAAAGCCGATCTGGAAGCGCGGAGGCACCGTAGCAATGAGAAGCAGGAGGAGAAACAAAAAAAACAAGGAGGAGAAGAACTTGGAGGAGAAGGAGCTGGAGGGGCTGGCAGCCCAGGTCCTCGCTGCCCCCCTGCCACCGAGGGGCCCCCCACTCACCGGAGGGGCACTGTAACTGGCGTGAGGGTTGTTCTGGATTTCCCACAATCCCTCGTTGAAGCCTTTCCTCTTGTTGGGTTTCCCATATTTGTCTTTATACTTTTCATAAAGGAACAGATCTTTAGGGCCCAAGAAGGCGCTGGAGAGAAACAAAGCAGAGGTGAGGCCGGGAGCAGGAGGCAGCAAGAGCCCGGAGAGGGGGGCGAGGCAGGGCTTACGTCTCGTGGGTGCCGAAGAAGAAGATGGGGTACTTGTTCGGTGGGGGTTTCACGGCGCCATCCGCGATGTCATCGATCTGAAAGGAAACCCAAAGCGGGAGGTTTGGTCAGAGAGGGAGGCTGGAGAACGTCCTCTGCCAGGCCCGTCGGCCTCCCGCGCCCCTTCGGAGGCAAAGCAGGGGCAAGAAAGCACCCGGGTGGGCAGGGACCTCGTCAGGAACGAGGGTCCCGCTGCGGCGGCGGGGATCCCGGCGGGAACCCCGGGTCCTGGCTCAACCCAGGACGATCCGGCACGGATGCGAGGTCGTCTCTCCACGGCCGGGCTCAGCGCCCGGGTGGGCCTTTCTGCTGCTCCCCCCACCCACGAGATCAGTGCCACGGGTGGGTGTGGTGGGGAGGCCTGAGGGAAGCCCCCTCCAGCCCCGGGGTGGGGGGGGATGGTTCCAATAGGAGGGTCCTTCCTGGCTCTGGAGAGCGGCCGCAGGGAAGGGTGGGGGCCACCCCATCTTCTTCCCACTGCTCCGGGTGGGTGCGTGGGGCTGCCCGGGTGTGCTGGGGAGGTCTTCGGGGCAGGGGGGGGAAAAATCCTCCTCTCCCCCCCCCAAAAAAACACAAAAAGGCAAGCGAGCTCTAAAGCAGGAGGGGCTGCAGGTGCTGGCAGAGCGAGGGCTCTCCTGGAAGGACCCAGAGC